GCTTCCAAGCAAGCGCTTCTTACATAAGTTTATTTTTAAGCACAATATATTTCTTTTTGACAGATGTTAGAGCTGTCTCTCCTCTCTAATTGTTCTTTGACAATAATTTATTCCACTTTTCTTTGGACAACATTTCTGTTTGAGAAATTAACAACACATCTGATCTTTTTGTATCGCTAATCTTTTACAATGAGAAAATCCTGCAAAATGATTTTTGGTTTAGTTTTCTTTAAAAGACGTTTGATTATGTGAGAAAAGGTGTTAATATTAATAACACCTGGACACAAAAACACCTTTAATTGTCTATTGTCTTGTCAATTTCAAATGAAAATATTTGACATAACCTAATTCAGTTGCAAAATATATATTTTGTTAAAAATCTGCAAAGTTTTACAATTTCACACACGACGTTTATGTTTAGCTCTATCTTGTAAATTATAATCACCCCTTTGTTTCTGCAAAGAACATTTTTATCCTAATAGAGTTTTCCATATCCTGAAATTGTGTTAAATCTTCAACTTTAATGTTTGCAGTTTTTGAACATGTTATTGATATGTTGAAAATATTTGATTATCCTTTTCGTTTTTTGTTTTTTTTGTTTTTCGTTTTTTTTTTATGTTGAATCTACAGCTGCAAATGTTTGGATTTTGTTGCCCCCAGAAGCCAACATATCAAAATCTTGTGCAAATTGCATACATTATCTCATTCCTGAGACTTTAACCTTTCATAAGCTAGATTAATCCATGTAGTTGAAATAAAAATTTTACACGGTATCAATCTGGTATGATTCCGGTAGAAAGTTTTTGCAAAAAGGAGGGACATTTAACAATTTTTCAAGATGATTGGGTAAACTAAGTTGCACTGGCCTCTGATGTCGAGGTTATACCCAATCACAGCAGCAGTAGCAGTTGTGACCAATCATAATCTTGATTTGTTTCACAACTAGCGGCGTTAACGGATAAACCAAATACGTTCAGGAGGAACGCGCAAACATCTTTCCCATCCACAAAGGCACAAATCTCATTCTTTTACTAAAACAGGGTCAGCCATGTTTGCTTTGCTTCAGCCTTCTGTCTCTGTTTGACGTCATGTATTTTATTGGTCCAAAACATTTTCTGTATCGGGGCTAATGCATCCTTTGTTTTCTGTCCAGATGTTTTTTCACAAGTTTGTAAATTCACAAATCTCGCAACAATGCATCTTGCTTTCAAGGTAAACCTTACATGAGACAGAGCAATAAAAATTACCCTTGTAGTCCATATATGGCATTAAACCATGTTGACTCATTGTTTCTTTGCACAAACTGCTTCCTGTTGTTACAGCGTATCTTTACGGAGGCGTATTGCATTCAACAAAGAAAAAGATTCTGACAGCTTACCTCATAATTACGAAATCAGTATCTCATAATTACGAGATATTATCTTGTAATTACGAGATCTTTTCTCATAATTATGACATCTTTATGTCATAATTATGAGATCCCAATCTCAATATTATGAGATCTTATCTCATAATTACGAGATAAGATGTCATAATTATGAGATAATATGTCATATTAAGGTGATCTGGAAGGACGGTCATTGCTGATCGCCGCTACATGAAACATGAACAATGAGTGGATTGTTAGAGAAAAGATCCCGTAATTATGAGAAAAGATCTCGTAATTACGAGATAAGCAGTTTTTTTTTAACGAGATAAGCTGTTTTTTTTTTGTTTTTTTTTTTGGTGAATGCAATATGCTTCCGTATATCTTAAAAATTCATTGAGTATATATATTTAATGGATTATAGAAACAAATTTTAATATCAATGAAAATAGACCTGATTATTTCCTCTTGCTTCTGGACCTGAATATCTTTTATACAAACTCCATCAGTGCCGTGGATGTAACTATTTGCTTAAGATTTACAAAATGATCAAACCAGTTTGATCAAAGTTTTTTTATCTGTCTGAAGGGAACAGTCAATATAAAAATGGCAACTCTAATATTAAATCTCATCAGCCTTTACCGGTTTCTGTCAGTGTCCTTCAGAGGAATGCTCTTAATATCCTTCCACTTCTTTTTTATTGGACCATCAATCCGGTCTACATGTCCTCTACTGGCTAGTTAAAGCTTTCAGACACGCCTATTTTAACAACCCCTTCAGCAGAGAGTGGTAATGTTCTCATTTTATTTGCATGTGCAATCCTACATCACATGTGTCCTTTTCACACAGAGGCAAATGAAAACTGAGGTCAAGTTCATTTGCAAAAGCAATCAGTTCTGCAGATGAACTTGAACCGTCCCTGAAATGCAGGACCAAAAAAATTGGTTCTTTTAAATGTGTTGACTTTTCCAGTTTGAACTTGGCATTTAACTTGATTTCCCACATCTGTGTAGCAACCAAAGGGAACCTAACCTTAAGCTCTCCTTAAAGGAGGGTTTCTAGTGACTGATATATATCTGCAATGCAAATAAGAGATATAATCTGAATTCATTTCTCACAATAGGTTTGTTTAGCAAGTCATATATATCAGTGTTACATGTAAAACCTCCACAAACAAAGAGGGACTCCGGCAGAATAACCTTTAAAGCGAAGAGCCGCTTTGCATTTGAAGTCACTGATGTTGGTAGATATTTTTTTTTGTTTAAGCTCTTTTTATTTTCTAATGTAATAAAAATATATTTATGAATTGATGGAGAAATTAAGAATATCTAGACTCAACAAGAAAAAACCAGGAGCTTAGAAAATCCCCAAAGCTCCTCAACCCACATAACTACGGGTAGATGATATAAAATAAGGAACAAATCAGTCACAGACGAAAATGTCCAAATCCATTGTAGTCACCAGTGCTGATTAGTTGCTTTGAGGGAGTGCGATTGACTTATAATAAAATACAGCCAGAAAAAAGAAAACATAAAAAAATGATAAACTTTGTGTGAATATTAATTAATCTACATACAGATCTACATAGTGTTCTTAAATTAGAGTGAAATTTTATAATTGGAGCCTGTTTGATAAATGTATAGAATTACATTTAATAGGCTTATTTAATTTACTCATTTTAGCAGCTTCTTATTAGAATTCATAAAGTCAAACTCAGAGCAGTTTGGCTGTTTGTAGCCACAAACAGTATTTGTTTATGAATAAATATATCTCATAGGACTCATAATAACAGAAATTAATTGAGATAGAATAAATCAAATAAAATGGAAATTGTCTCATGCTTAGAGGATTATCAATTGTTCATCGAGGACTAAAGTCATTATTTACAAAGGTAGGGGGGCTTCAGCCCCTTAGTGAAGGTCGGGGTGATAGAATAACAACCACTGTAGTAACTGAACACTTAACAATGCAAGATGTTAGCTGAAGCAAGTATCAAAAACTTAAACTAAAGCCTTGCTGTCTTTCAAACAAGAAGTTAGAAAAGTGATTCAGTGACACCTGAGTCATTGCTGCAAAAGTAGTGGAATTGATTTTTTTTTTATAGTAATCTGAAATACTAACAAAACAAGCTTAAATCAGGGGCAATAGGACTTTCACTCAGTTTTTTTCTGAAACATTGACATCTATCCAGGATTTTTTGTAAATTCTGTTGCTTGGAGACGCTTAAAACATTAGCTGTGGTCCTGTTATACAGAAGGAGAAACATAAACGTTTTAAGATGTATCTTTACAAAGAGAGCTAAACTTTGAACAGCTAACAGGAAGGTTAATTTAGGGCAGTTAAATATGTTGTTCTTTGTTATTCCCTGAGCTCCCCATATACTAGATGTGGAATAATCTTAATATATTTGGGGATTGATGTTTAGTGCTTACCATGCTAACTGTGTATTATAAGTATAAGATACTGAAGATAATTTAAATGTCAAATCTAGAAAATTTTGTTGTTTTAAAAAAATAAAATCGTTTTTTACAGTAACACATAAGAGTTGTGATATCACTTATTTTCTCAATATAATTGCTTTCTTACATTTTGTGGCAGAATGGCTACAATTAAACAAAACAAGCTGCTTGTGTCCAAATGCAGAGAGATTAAAGGTTAGGTTCTCGGTTTTTAATGTTTGTTTTGTTTATAGCTCTTCTTTGAAAACATAAAAACAAGCTCAAAATCTGAAACATATTTGCAATGACTTCTTGTTGATTATAAATTCAAATAGATAAAGAACATTTCATGGGTTTCCCAGAGTAAATAAAGGAATAAATGCGGGTCACACAGAGTGGAAAACCAATGCAAACATACAAAAATGTCTTAACAGATTCAGATACCATTTTTCTCATATCAGACATAGCACAATGTTTTTGCATTTAGTCTAATAGTTCAAATGTGAATAAAAAAAAATGTATGCAGTTATTTTCAATCGGTCCCAACTTGTTGATATTTTAAAGTTGGTTCCATCTCAGCATCGCTGATCTCTGGGGAAACTCATTCAGTCAGCATCCCTGCGCTTTCTGTCTTTCTGCCCCTGCTGCAGTTTCTCGCAATTTAACTTCATTGCATCTCCTCAGCCCTCCCCCTTTCTCCTCATTTTCAACTTCACTGTTCTGTGTTGTCCTCGCAAAGCCTCCCTCATATTACACATCATTTAAAATGATAAATGACCTCCTTCCTCCTACGAACCTCTTCCCTACGTCACAGAAAGGGATCGCTGGACAAAACTGAGCGGATCGTTTTCAAATTCACAAGCTACAGGTGGTTGGAAGGACAAAATCTCTGCAGAAGCTACTCGTGCTTTCAAAACATCAATGCAGCATGTGTCTGTAGTGTGTGCAGCTAGAGCTGGTGGTGAAGATGTGAAGGGTTTCTGTGCGTAGGAGGGTCTTCACATGGCATCAGTAGGGAGAGGCAGCAATGATTGCAAGAAAAGACTGATGAATACAGAGGATATTCAGAAAAAGAAAATCTAACCAGCTCTGAAGATCAAGATGATGCAAACAGGTGCAAGAAACTCTATAATTTACAGAAATTGGACTTCCATTCAACAGTTTATCTAAAAATGTCATAAAACAGAAACACTCACCATGAACTGAACGTTGTCAAATCCATTGGCCAGCAGGTGGTTCTCATACTGGACCAGACCGATGGAGTCCAGCCACTGTCCAACGGACTGCAGCGGGCAGCGGGGACCTATGAGGGGGTGCAGGGGCAAACGTTTCAGTAGGGAGTAGCCGTCCACGCGATAGCAGCGGCAGTCCGGCTGAGACAGCTGGCACTGCCACATCATGTTCTGGCGGGCAAAGTGGCTGTCGAAGGAGCCCGCCATGCTTTCAGAGGAGTCTTTTGGCAAGGAAAAATAAAGGGAGGGTAGGTAGAGGGAGGGGAAAGGGTGAAGGGGGAGAGGGAAAAAAAAATCTAGGCAAGGGGCATGATGGGGATAGAGGGGGTCAGCATGCAAAGGAGCCAAACAGGTAAAGTGCAGATGTGCAGATGTTCTCTGAATCCAGCCAGAGGAGGATAAGAAGCGGAGGCTGAAACTGAAAGTTGTATCCAGAAAAGCGCTCCTATCCTGCCGGGTAAATCCTGCCAGAGATTAGATGGAGTGTAGATCTGTCTCTCCTACAAAGCGCAGCAGCAGCAGCATCCGCTCTCGGTTCAGCTGTTGCGCTCGCTTGGTCGCTCCCCTGAGCTGGTGTATATGCATGCGCGTGCCAGAGAGAGAGCTGCTGCGTTGTAGATTTCTCTTTATCAAGTACTCCCACTCTCATCTGTATGCTTCTGCAGCCTCCTCTCTCTCTTTCTCTCCCTCTCTTTCTCAGCTCTGCCTCCCCCTCCTCACCAACTTCCCTCTGGTCTCTATTCTTCCTCAGTGGCGATCGACACCCTGCTGTCTCTGCTGCTATACATATATCTACCTCGCTCCGTTGATAATAGCCACCACAACAGTTCCAGCGTCTTTGTCTTTGAGCCAGAATCCCTCCCACCCACACATACACACACACACAGACACACACCATTCCTCAGTGAATCCACGCAGCCCTGCATATGCATGTTGCTTTATTTGATGTGATATGCATGCTCTAGTTGTGAGGTTGAGCTGCTTTTGAACTAGCAGATTTCTGGCTATGGTAACCATGGTTAGAACGGACTTTGCAGTGATAGATGAAAGAGAAGATGAAGAAAATACCAAATAAAAAAGAAGGAGGGATCAGGAGGTGGAAGTTGGTATAGGAGAGAAAAGCTGCATGCAGCAAACAGATGACTGAAGGAGGATTCAAGGTTTGCAGGTGGAGAGAATTTTATCGATATATTTTGTGCCTTGCAAAACTCATATTTTCCTGTAACAATTTTGTGTTGATTTTAATGTATATTATTGATTTGATAAAATAAATCAATAAAAATTAATGATGGAGTGAAAAATAGAAGAAGTCATTGTCACTGCATTTACAGCAATAAGTGTTTTGGTGACGTCTCCACCATTTTTCTTTGCAAAAGTTTAACTCAGCCAAACTGGATGGAAAACATCTGAACACTAACTAATAATACCTGCCACATATTCTCCATTGTTGTGATATCTGGACTTAAACTTGGTTGTTCTCATGAATGAAGAGGCTTTAACTCGTCCCATCATTCCTGACCTCTCTGCTGGGTTCCTTGATCTTTGTGATCCTGTAATGTTCTCCAACAAATCTCTTTGGCCTTTGGCCTATAAGGTGACTACTAAAGGCTGCAGTGGATCAGATTAAAAACTGTTAATCCACAGACTTTTTGATTTTTGTTTTAAAAACAAAAAAAGAGGCACAAAAATCATGTTCTTTTATATTAGTGTAATAAAGCAGAATTGCAAAAATGCTTCGAATGTATGAATGCTTTTGCAAGGCAGCTCAAAATAAAACAATTTCCTATAAATTAATTCCAATCACATTTATTATAATTTAAAACAATAGGGTGTTATTCTAAGTTTCTAAACATTGACTTTGTAGGGCTGCTAACTGTAGCCCATCAGTGACAGGTCACTGTAAGAAGGGTTTGTTGTCATTTTCATTCCTTAGGAATTCAAACTAATACATTTCTGGCTAATGCATTAAAATTTGCTGGGATGGATAAAACATATCTGTGACACGCAGAGGATTGTGCATGTTTTGAACATGACGGAAGATCCCAGATTCATCTCCCATCTTAGGCTAAATTTAACGTTTTTTTAATTGAATTAAATTAACAAACAACTGGTCTTTTTTTTCTAAAAATCACAGTTTCAAAGAAGAGTAAAGTTGCTCTTCTGCGTGGTGGTGTGGGCTTGCAGAGGTTTGAAGAAATAATGATGCAGAAGTTCTCCTTGCCCACTTTTGCCATTTAAAAGGCACAGTGACAGCTGTGCTGTTTCACCTGTTTGACAGCAATAAAATATCCTCTGTTTGCCAGAAGGAATAAAATGCCATTTAGAAAAAAAACTATTGCAAAGCACAACATTTTATTACACAGTATGAATCTTTATGGAATAGCTGAAAGTATTTTGCAAGTTTTATTACTTGTATAGAGAGTGAAAGAGGTCATGAAGATGGAGATAACATGCAGAAAAAATGTGCAAATTAATCATAATTCATGTAAAAACTCCTCGGATGTTTGAAAGTCATACATTTACAGAAGAAACCTCACATGTTCTATGACATAAGACTATTGTAAATTTGCACCGTCATAAAAACACAGATTTAAGAAAAGAAAATCACTGGTGTCTAAGGTTGGAGATGAAATCCCAGCCAGGGTCATAAACCTGTATGACTGGAGTCTTAATAAAAGAGTTAGCAATCAACTAAATAGATTGTGCTTTATTATAGTCATTTCAGCCCTTTTTGGTTGATTAAATGAACACGATTTCACCCAGACAGAGGGTCTGATAATAAAGCATTTCTGTTCATATTAAAGCTGGGATGAAAAGTTAGTTGATTAGAGAAATGGAGATTTTTTTTTTTTCAGAGCGAGAACGGAATAGTTATTATTCATAAACGACAACAAAAAAAAGTATCATATCGTTCAGCCGAATCCAAGAAGGTGCCATAGCAACCACGTTTGCAACCAGTGACGTCACATAGGGGGATCGGCTCTCGTCTGGCAGGAGCTTAAGAGACAGTTTTTTGGTTTTGATGTACATTTTTTTGCTTTTCTTTACAATGAGACAAGCATGTGTAGCAATATATCGCTCTCAAGAGCAAAAGAGAACATATGGGGCAGGAGTTGCAGGACCTGTTTATCAACTGGATTATACGCTCACTGGAAGAAGATTCATAATAAATTCTGTTGCTCTTGCTATTCATTCAGTCTGTATATCAGCCATGTTAGCTAGACATTCTCCCAAAGTGACGTCACACTAAAACGGACACGGCAAAAGACCGTTTTCTTTTAAAAAAAACGGTTATTTTTTAAATATTAGTATCTGAATATCGCTGGACTTTAGTATTGACAGCAATTAACAACAGGAGAGCATTTCCAATGGGCTCTATGCACCACTCCACTACTTCCTGACTTTAAGGCAGCGCCTTTGTTTCCTGTCTTTTTTTACTGGATGAACTGATTAATCCAGGTGTGTTTGACCTCAGTAGCCAAGGCCAGGTTAATCAGTCCATCCAGTAATAACAGGAAACAAAAGAGCTGCCTTAAGTTCAGGGAGTAGTGGAGTTGTGCATAGAGTCCATTAAATGTCCCATCTTTAAGTAGGTCAGAGCTTCCAAGTTTGCATGTAATTTAAAACGATCCCCCCATAAACTGCTGCTTTTATCATAAAAATCAACCATATTTACTTTTGGAAATTCTTCTTAAATCTCATAGATTTAAAACATTTTGATGTACTTTGTAATGTTTTTATTACTGTAAACAAAGCATTAAACTATGGAGAATAACTTTTGTTTTTCATGGGGAGGCAAGCTTTCTGGCAATTAGAAAGTTACAAGTTCAAGCACAGCTTCTCAAGGCACACATGATGTGCCCTTCAGCAAGGTACTTGAACCAGAAGTTAAGGCATACATTCCCTGAATCAATCATTCACGGAATGTATAACTAAACCTTTTCTTAACAAGAAAAGGTTTAGTTCATCTCATATTTTGCTAATTTAACTCAACTTATTTTCATACCACTAAGTGACTTTTAACTCTTTCATTTGTTAGACTAAAAAAAAAAAAAGAATTTCATCTCTCCCAGGTCCTTTATTTTAATGAGATGGGGAGGTTTCCTCAAAATATTTGCATATTTCTTTTATTTTAACCAACTGCATTTCTACAGAATTTAAAGGTTCCATATTTTGAAGAATTTACTTTATAATCCTTGTCTAATTGTCATATTTGTCCTGAAGCCTGTGTATGAGGTTCACAAATGAATCAAAGAATGCTTCATAAGCAGGCTTCTTTAAACACCTTACATAGAAGAGTGGATTGATACCAACTGTCTCTAAGGGTAAGAGCTGAACATGACTTTACTGTGTTGGACTGCTTGGCCTGAAAACACTTTAGCACTGCAGCTAACATTTGTGTCTTTGACAGTTTTGATAAGCGTGTGGTTTTTATGAGATGGATAATCTTCTCCGTGCTTAAGAAACAGTCTTTTCCTAACATGATATCTGCAGTATTTCTGATTGTGTGCTTAAATTAAATTAATTTTGCAAATAGCAGCTCAGTTAGAGGCTGTAGCAGCTCAGGTTAACTTCCTACTGTGTAGTTGTTGGGTTTGTTTATCGAAACATTGTTTACAGTCTAGGGTTTCGGGCCGTCCCTAAAAAAACTGGATGGCTCTGTATGTAGAAGGAATGATTAGAATGAGATTTGTCCATATTTGATAAACATTTTTTATTATTATTGTCAACATCATAAATGAACGGCAGTGAGCGACTGTAACATAAAGCTGCTCCTGTTATTTGTTGTCACTTATTGGCTGCTCAGAGCGGACAGGAGCCGCCCATCGTTTAAGGTCCGCCTTTGTCTTCTGTATTATTCTACTATCCTAGCTGCCATCATTACGAACCCTGACTGGTTGTCATGGTTACAAGGTGTGGCTGCGCAGCCTTCGGGAAGGCGAAGGCGTGGAAAGCCAAAACAGCTCATTAAGAAGAGGGCTGAAAGAGGAGGTTATTGGTACAGGCTGTCCGCCAAATCTCAGAGGAATTTTCCTGCTCAAACAGTAAAAACATGCTCTAAATGTTATTATTATGAGACCTTTTAATCTTTTACCAGCACTGCAAATCACAGTCTATAAGCTTTCCAATTAAATGGGATTTAAATCTTCCTAAATAGTTTGTTTTATAGCAGATTGGTTCCAAATCATATGGTCGGATAATTAGCATAAGTAGAAGCACTGTACTCATTCTTGAAAACCATAAAGCACTTTAATTCTAAGCTGATCATTTGCTAAACTTTGTAATTGTATTACATATATTTTCAACTAAATAGCTATTTTTGAGAAAAATGTGTTTCAATGGCCTGTATTGGTATTATGGTTTAGGATTCTAACAGTTACTTTGTGGTGTGCATGACCCAGCCTTGCACACAAACCAGCTAATGTAAGCAGTTTTTTTTTTAACAGGATTTATCCTTTAGATTAACTCCCCTGACACTCATACATCTGGGATGTTGTTTACCTGAGGTAACCTCTTTGACATCCAATCCGCTGCCGATCCCCGCGCCGATAGAGCTCATAATCTTGTCAATCTAAACAGATGGAAAAAGAGATGTGTACAGGACATATTAATAGGAGGGAAAGTTATTTCCCAGGAATAAGGCTAAAGGCTATTTTTGGATTCGTGCGTCACATAATATGATCTTTACACCAACCAGGATGCTGAGTGTCAGCCATTTCCTCTGTGAACTAAAGGAGCAGAAAACTTTTCAGACTTTCTGAACAGAGATGAAGCCAGAAGGAGGCCGACTGCTGGCTGCAGCTCTGTGGACATGCTGCTAACCAGTGAACTGCACAACCTGCTCATCTGTCAATAAGGCAGCATAGCCAACCATCCTCAGCAGCACACAAAGTGTCACTTGCACTATTTACAAAGGAATCTAAATAAGCTCTTATTTACACCAATTACATGAGTAGAACTAAATACAAATATTCAGACCTTTCACTTTTTTTATTTATGGTTTACAGCTAAATCAGTCTCTTTGTTTTTCAGAAAACAGAAAACTGTCGAAGGGAAGTGAAATAAGCAGTTTGATCTTTTTTCACACTAAGAAACATGAAATCTTTTTTTAATCTCAACATTATAACTACAACTTTGGTTATAACGTACAAAAAGCAGAAAACTACATCTGCTTGATTCCTGTTGCGTTAATGAGGAGCTTTTCTGACATCCCTTGTGCTTCGTCTTTTTCCAACAATGTAGCTCTTTCTATGCGCTGCAAATAGGGCAGCTTTGTATTTCCCCATATATTAACCCAGAAGCCGCCTGAACTTTTTCTTTTAAATTCCATGCCGTAAGGCAGGAAAGGTTACCATAAATAGTAAGATGTCGAAAAAGAATAAAAACCTGATGGTAATTCATCTGATCGGCAAGTCAGGGGTTGTTTTGGATAATTAACATGTATATGCAAATGTGGCAAAGCTTCCATACACTAATAGGCTTTCACTCACATCATCAGAATCTTTTTAGGTTGTGTGATTAGATCTGATTGGATTTGCTTTTTTTTTTTTTTTTTAAGAAAGTAATGTCAAAAGATTTAACTGCAGTGGGAAGTCAGAGAATAACTTCCATGTCAGGAACCCTGTAATAAACTGAGCCGCTGAGACAAACGCGTTAAGATCTCCAGCCCACTGCAGCCTCGACCTCTGCTCTCCACCCTCCACAATAGAAACTACTTTCAAAGATTCCCTTCTTCCCTGCAGCTCCAGGAACATCAGAGGGGAAACATGTTCAATTAGCACTTTTCTCCTTCTGCACTGTACAAGTGGAGCATGTTTCAAAGGAAAGCAGTTAGATGGTGGTCAGTGCTGAGGGTGCACTCTTCACTCCTGCAGAAACCATTTGCTCTGAAAAGCTTATTTGCTTTAATCAGTTCTAGAGCAGACAGAGATCGGCGTCTTTGTTCCTTCTTAAATGTCTCGACTGATTAGATAATCTGGACCTTAATCTATTTGCGTCATCTTACCTCCTCCCACTCAGCTGTGAAGGAGGGGGTTCGCTCCAGTCTTTTTTCAGGGCTCACACCCTCTCGGGAGCCGGGGGTTCCGGGTCCCTGGCCCCGTGATCCAGAACCCCAACTGTGTTCCTCCTATAAGAAACAAAAAAAAAAAAAATATTCACAGATATGCTAAAAAAAATAATAATAATTGAAATTCTAAAAAAAAAAAATGAAATCAGAGTTTCATAAAACAGATTTTAATCAAACAAACTGCATTTTTCACAGCTTATAATTTATTGAAATTGAATTAAAACTCAAACGCAGCACAAGGCGTGGAACACTGTGGCCCAGATTGGCGAGTTATCTCATTGCCTGGACCGGCTTGAACTTTCTGAAGTCACACCATAGAAACTGTAATTTATACACATGAATATTCAACATGGTTGAATCTGCATCAACTGAAAACTTATTTCTATCTAAATGGGACACTCACAAGACAAGGCTTTCATAAACTGTGCTGATCTTCAAGTCTTAAAGGAAAGACTTGTCTGTAAATTTTTCACACCCTGCTATAGATGTCACATTTATTGATATATGAGAATAGAATAAAAAATTAGTGATCCCAGGAGGTGGAAATTCATAATGTCGCAGCACCAATAAAACAAGAGACAAAAAAAATTTACTTAATTAATTAAGTGTTTAAAGTGATAATCTTTTAGGGGTTAAATAGAAAAAGATCTGTATGTATTTGACTGTTTAAATTAATATAATATTGTCCTTTTTATGAATATATCAGCAACCGAAATCTTCACTTAGAAATATTTTCCATTAAAAAAATCTTGATTTTCTGCTTCACTCTTTTATTACCTTGGATGAATAAAATTAAAATCCTGCTTTCCATAATTTTTTTCCTCTGCTTGGTCTAAAAAAGTGAGCATTACTGACTAACTCATTTTTTTTTTTTTTTTTACGTGTTTCTTAAAGCCAGACAGTTGCCATTTGAAATTAGTTTAGTTTTGTGTCATGTCTGTGATTTGCTCTTTTCTACATAATTAAACAACTGAATGAACATCCGCCAAAGCCAGTGATTTCAAAATTTTTGCCAGAGGTTTTAGGAAACACTCAAGTCAGAACAGACTCAGGTTTGCAGTTTATATTTTGTCCACACAGACCTAAAATCCGCTTAATTTAAAGAAAAGTAATCCCATAGTATAATGTTGCTCCTACTGTGCTGTACTGTTGGTGTTTTTTGGGATTATAGAAATGCACAGATTTATTTGTGTGTTAAAAGATTAATTTTGAAATGTTTCCTTACAGTAAAAGTCCCGAATCACTTTTTCTTCCTCCCGCGAGGATTTTGGAAGACAATAGTGATGCAGGGTTCCAAATGGAACCATTCTTCAGTGTTACTGTAAGCCTCACTTTAATAATTCTCACCAATTTCCAAGAACATACAGTTTTTTCTTTGCATTTATTGCTATATATTCTATTTTTTGCATCCTGCTCCTGACTAGCACTCCTTCTCCTCTAAAAAATTAATTTTAGTTTTCATTGCATAGAAAATATGTAACATTAGATTTAGTACTTCTGAGATGTATTCAACAACCTGACCTTTTAAGAGGGATTTGCACACCTTAATTTCTTTGTAACTGATGCCAACTGAAGTAAAAAAAACAAAAAAAAAAACCTCTCACCTGTATGGGGGACACGGCCACCAGGTTTGAATCCGACTTGGAAAGGGACTTTGACAGCTGCAAATCCAACACGCTGCGCGGGACGGACCTCATCCTCCCCAGGGTGCACGCTCTCTCCTCGTAACCTTCCTTGGCCTCAGCTCCTGCCTGGTTCCCCTGAAAGTCTGGAACTTCTCCGTTTTGCCTCAAGGAACGAGGGGACGGATGGCTACGCGTTGACCATCCGTGAGGCAGATCCTCCTGCTCACAGTTCTTGTGCTGACCTTGGTCCTGGTTGACCCTGGTGTGGAAGACGGTCCGATAAACAACCTGTGGCTTTTCAGCCCTTTGAGGAGACGATTCTTTTTCAGTTCTGGATAAGCCCTGTGAGGCTCCCCCGCCAATCACAACGCTGAAGTCAGGGGTCTGCAGCACGCTGCTCTGAACTTCTGAAGAGGAATATTTAAAGTGTTTGGGGCTGTAAAGGTGATAAGGCGTATCTGGGGGCTCACAGGCTGGAGAGGACCCATGAAGAAGGCCGGCAAACTCCTCTGGGATGAGACTTTTTCTGTTTTCCTCCACAAGACGACTTGAACTGGAGGAAGAGCAAAGAGGAGGAGGGGGTGGATCTCGCTGGTACGTCCCGTCGTCTGCAGAAATGATACAGAAAAGAAAATAACCACCTGTAAATCATAGTTTAGATCATTTACAATTGAATGCAGCTAAATTAAAGTCTAGAACAATATCATACTTTTTTTTCACTCTAATTTTCCATTTTATTTCTTCTTTACAAGAATCCCAATAATCTGCTTCAGAGTATTAAAGGCCACCTGTCACTAAGTGGATTCTTTTTCCAACATATTGTCTAACTAAATCTTTGTCTTTCTCAAGCATATATGCATCTCGAAGCAAAGCCCCAGTGGTATAAAACTAAAGTCTTTGACGAGTTCAAGTACAAAGTGCATCATTTTTCTTTGTTTTGTTCTTTTTTTTAAAACCAAAAAAAAAAAAAAAACGCCCAAGGACTTTCATCATTATGTTACAACAAACTGTTTTATATTGACGCAGACAGTGAATAAGAGACTATAATGGATGCTGACATCATTTGACCTGCTTGCCTGATGTGCAGATGAAACATTTAATTTTATTAAAGCTCATTTAACCAGGAGGTCTCTTAACATTTATGGCTCTTATTTGAGAGTAGCTTTCTTAAAAAAAAAAACACAAATTAGGAGTACAGGCTAAAAGTTTAGCAATAAAATAAAAACACGTGGAATAAATCAGGTCAGTCAACAAAATAGAAGCTAAAAAAGCAAAGATCCAGCCTAAAAAGAACATTTACACTTTTCAGTTACAGAAGTTTTTATAGGAGATTCAAACACTCCAAAATAACACAAATTTGAGATGTGCTCTGAAGATCACTCCAAAAATACAGGGGAAAATAAGAAAACAGTTCTTTTAATACTCGAAACTCAAAAGAAAAGCTAGTGAGTGTTTGAAAGCATTAGAGAACCAAAAGAAGACAGAATTAGAGGACAGTAAAGTTTTGGACATAACATACCACTGCTGCTGTGCTCTTAACAAGGTCCAATAAATGGATTATTATGTACTAGTGATCTGTGCAGCCTAATTAATTTGCTTTAAAAGTAAATAGTGAAACGGCGTCTAAACAGCTAAGTGCACTAGATGCACCATGCATACAAGTAATGACACCATAACCTAGAACCCTATAAAATGTAGCCAGACTAGTAGTTTGTTTTTCCTGACTTGTTTCATTTTCAGTTCAGTTCAGTAGCTTTTATTTGTCCCAGTATGGGCAATTTTTGTGCAGTAGTAGTACACCTTTCACACATGTTCACATTTTACAAATCACGGATAAAAAATAAAAGACAGAAAAGTAACAAATAAAAAGTAAATAAATATGTGCAGTTGTTTCTTTTATCACAGATTCATGAACACTATTTTTACCAAATGTTAAATATGCACATAGTAAGAGAAAATAGATCCTCTCACCTTTGCATGTGCACAAATTTAATACAGTAACAGTTAATTGAAAGGACTCCACAGATAAACAAAACTAATGAAATGAGACCAAATACATTCAGATTTTTAACATGTTCAGCTCATAACCCTACCTTCCAAAATGTTTTACATTAATGTAATAGAAGGATTTCCACCTATTTTGATATCTAATCCAATAACTGATGTTTAGAGATTTCAGAAACACAGATAAGATTGTGCACTTTTGAAACTGAAGCCAATGAATGCATTTCTGTTAACATTGGTAAACTTTAACAGAGAACTTTTATTATGGCTGAGCCTAATGTAGACCTGAGAACTCAGATCTTAGGTTACAAAGCAAAGCTCAAGAGGTTTGGTGTAATTCATGTACATCTAATGAAATTATATCACCATAATAATGATAAATAATGACATTATATAATAACCTTACGGTAAACTAAAAACAGTTTTATTTCCTTGAATTTTTGTTATAATTTTGGTCTCCATCTAACCACATTTCAAGGTTCCAGTTAAATCTCTGCTACAGTTTAGAAAACTGTAAAAGTTTGCATTTAAAGCAAGCTCTGTTAGCTACAGCTCTAGTTTTGAACCTTTTGGTTATTCCTTTGACTGTAGGGACCATACTTAGAGCTGCAACTGACAAATATTTTGCATATCGATTAATCTGTTGATAATTTTTTCGATTAATTGATTTATAATTGGATAGCCAAATATTCCTCAAAGAAGAGTTTTTACAAAATTAAACCGGTTGAAATTAAAACTTTTTCATTTGAGGAGATCTGGATAGAGCCTTTTCTATCTTGGATGTAAAATGTTATATATTGTTTTTATAATTTTGGTATAATTATTGCTCTAAGTGGGTTTCTCTGCCACCTAAAGAATCATTTAGAGTCTCTATATTCCAGTTAATAATTACTCAGTAAATAAATTAGTTGACGATTATGTCAAAAATCAATCATGATTTATTCGGTTAAATATTTCAGCCCTGACATACTGGTAGGTATAAACAGGTTAGCCATTTTTCTAACAATTCTATGCATTTGTTAATTGAGTTGAAAAACGAATCTGTCTCCTTTATACCTTTAAGGTCCAATAAGCAACAGTTAATTTTTTAGATAGAAAAAACTAAAACAGTGATGTGGATAACTAAAGGTATCCCTTTAAACTGCATATGGTGTGACTCCTCAGATTATCTCCGTTTTTTTCCAGTATCGCCGGGTGAGGAATGGATACATTTCACTTATTCCGTAAAAATTCAAAAAATATCCACTGGACTTGGTTTTCACCATTTGAAGACGTTTCGCAACCTCTCTAGGAGGCTTTCTCAATTCAAATGTCTGGATCCGCAGTGAGTTTGAGTCTTATATAGACAAAGCCTTGTATCGCTTGGAAACATGCAAATGGTAACTGATGAATGGGTCGTTTAGTTCCATCGTTAGCCTGTAATATCTGAAACCTGTCTATGATTCTAAGGGTCGGTCGTTAAAAGGGGGGATTGCCGTTAAGGGGGGGGATTGTCTCCTGTAATACCTGAAACCTGTCTATGATTGTTAAGACTCGGTCGTTAGGGAGGTATTGTTAAACGGCTCTTTTTGACTTAAGTAATTCATTCTAAGTATAGAGAAAGTCTTCTAATCAATAAGAAGTAGGATTTATATTTACCCACTGATTATATGCTAAAATGATTTAATATATGCATAAACTGTTTCTAAATTATCCTTCATCTGCGTAGCTCTAGTGTCATCTACACAAAGTCCTCAAAGTCGTTTAACGTGGTTCATTCAGACAAATATAATATAAATATAAGACCAACAGCAAAGCCGGCTGATTTTTTGCAGAAATCTCCATCTCTGCAAACTAAGGTAACAGTGATTACGTGGAACAACAATGATGTTAGCCCTTGAACAGAGAGCTATTTTATGTCAAGTGTGAATATTGCATTTTCCCTGCTCTGCTGTGTTGTCTGATGTGTTTAAAGAACGTCCATTAACAGACCACAGTTAATCAGGGCTGAAGATATGACTCACTCTACAGTGAGATCGACTCAAAATGTGATTTACAACAGAAATTAAAAAGTGCTGTCGGCATAAAAACTAAATCAAGAGTTTAGGTGACTCATTTAAAAAGTGAAACGCAAGTAGATTCAATAAACAAATAAAAAAATGTCAAGCCTTTTTTTTTTATTGTGTTTGGAATGATGGTGTTCAGACAATGAAAACTTAAACTCCTGTAATTAAAATCTCAATATAACATAAGCAAATACAAAAAAACAACAATATTTTGAAAAGAAATGTGAGGCCTAGCAAGTATGTTTATAATTTTGCTACCTGGTTGAGCTTCCTGTTTCATTAGCTACACATCAATGCAGGCTGGCTTTTTTAATTTTTTTTTTTTTTTGTGGGGGGGTTGTTTGTCAGCCTGTGGTTCTGCTGAGGTGCAATGAAAGCCCAAAATGCTTTAATGGGGGACATCAGGCCATCTGCATTTTTGGGTCATCTCTAATCTTTACTATACCTAATACATTATTTAGGAGGTTCAGTTCAGGGTAGTTTTCTGGAAGCATAAAATGCTCTAAAAATAGCCTCATTGACTCTGAATCTCAGAAAACACAGTGAACTTCAATGAATTCGGTACCATCCCACTGTCCTCCAAACTCTGGGATCTTGATTTCCAAATTAAAAACTAACTTCATTTAAAAAAAAAAAAAAAGGACATTGGACCCTAAAGCAAGAGTCCAACATGCGTTCTCCTTGTTCAAGGTGAGACACTACTGGGTAGGTCTCTTTTCATGTCGGGGAGACAGTGGCGTCTGATGAAGGAGTTGAAGGGTTGTCGGTTCAAGCCCTGGTTCCAGCTTTCATTGTTGTTGTGTCCTTGGGCAGGACACTTCACCCGTATTTCCTACTGATGGCGGTCAGAGGGCCTGGTGGCGCCGGTGTACGGCAGCCATGCTACTGTCAGTGAGCCTCAGGGCCAACATCAGTGTGCGCATAAATGGGTGAATGACTGAATGTAGTGGAAAGCGCTTTGGTCAAGACCTCAGACTTGGAAAACGCGTTCACGAGTCTACGGAAACCGCGGCAGACCAAACCAGATGAAAGTGCGCATTCAGCTCGGCAAAGAACTCATGCTCTTCCTCAACA